TTTTTTTTTTTTAAAAAAAAAAAAAACATTTATTTGATTTATTCATTCATTTATTTTAATTTGATGAGAGAGAAAGAAAGTGAGAAAGCAAGCCACCAGACCCGGAACTTGAACCGTGGTCAGCCATGTGGGAGTGGAACCTAAGACCTGGAACCTCCACACCACTTGCTGGGCCCGATCTCACGTCTTCTTGACTCCTGGGCCAGTGTTCTTTCCCTGCCTCTGGCAGCCTTTCTGCACCTCTGAAACGTAGGACCCCACTTCGCTTCCCTCTGGGCCTCCCAGACACTCCTTGGTGCTTACCTTTCACGTTACACACGAAGGTTTGACTGACCACGCCGGTGTTGTTCTCCTTCTCGGCAGGCCACTCATAGACGTAGACTGTGGTCCTGGAAGACCCTGCATCCAGCACAATTCCATACTGAACAAAAGAGGAAGGGGGAGTTAGAGACGGGCTGGGCCTCTCTACGGAAGTTCCTTCCCAGTGGGCCACTGAGAGTCCCAAATGCCTTAGGCCACACTGCTTCACTTGAGTGGCCAACAAGAGAAAACTGGCTTTCATCAACCAATTTTGTCTCCTTAGACTTGAGAAGGAGGGGATTAGGGAGGAAGGTCAGGCTGCAGGGCATGATGTCAGTCTTGGTCATGCATTAGATTCCCAGGAGGAGCTCTTAAAACTCCCAAGGCCAAGGCCCTACCCCAGACCAATGAAGTCAGAATCTCTGAGAGTAGATCCAGGCATCAATATGCAGCCAAAGCTGAGCACTGTACCCCAAAGACCCTGCATACAAAGACAGGCCCCCTGATCCCACTTCATCCAATAGGAACCTCTAGATGAGGGACAGACGCCTCTTGGGGTTCAGAGGGAAATGAGTGGCTCGTCACTGGACAGTCTCTGTCCTCCAAGCTTCCAGGCACATGGGCCTTGGAAAAACAACCAAAGGAGAACTGCAGGGAGTAGAGGTAGGAAATTCCTTCAAGGAAGACAGGCTAATCAGATAGCTGACCCGAATCAACCCTCAGAATGAAAGTAGCCCTGGGACCAGCAGTTAACGTAATGGCTACGTCACTGGACTCCCATGTTGTCGACTGCAGTTCAAGTCCTGGACCCGGTGGCTTGAACTCACACCAGGCGCGTGTGTGTGTGTGCCCAAGATTCCGAGAGGAGAATGGAGGAGAAGGGATTGTGATGTGGCCATCCCCTCTGGAGGGTGATTTCTTGTTTTCTATCTCTCTGTCTCTCTCTGTCTTTCTGGTGAGTATATGCACCCTAGAGCAAAAACCTCTCCAATAAAAAAAAAAGAAAAAAAGAATGAAAATAGCCCTTATCAAGGAGAAAAAACTCAAATACGAAATAGTATTGACCAGTTGCTCCCACTTTGGTAACATGCATGTGAGCACGTGGCGTGGACGGGCAGGGGCTGTGTGCTGTGCTGTGCTGGGGCGGGCTGGGCATGGGACAGGAGGCTGAGGGTCCCTGACACTGTCCAACTTGAAGCAGGAACAGGGAGCTTTGCCTGAAGACGTGGCTCAGCATAGGCCCAGGACCAAACCTGATCAGGAAAGAACACGTCTTAGCAGCCCACGGGCATCAGAATTAGTGATGCTGACCTAAGCCTGGTATATCTGGTTTGCCTAGAAGTCATTCCAGGCCCTCAGGGTGGCAGCCTTTCCCTATTCCACCACCTTTGGGTGTTTAGATATATGCTTTTAAATAAAAATAGGGCCATACGGTATATAGTTTTGTTTTGTTTTTTGCTATGCTCCCCCCCCTTTTTTTTTTGAGAGAGAGGTTTTTGCTATAGGGCGTGTACGTTTGCCAGAAAGACAGAAAGAGAGACAGAGAGACAGAAAGCGAGAAATTACCCCCCAGGGGGGATGGTCACGCCGCAATCCCTTCTCCTCCATTCTCCTCTCGGGATCTTGGGCACGCATGCACACGCGACCAGCATGAGTTTAAGCCACCAGGTCCGGTACTCAAACCGCAGTCGACTACATGGGAGTCCAGCGACATAGCCATTATGCTAACTGGTCCCACCTTTTTCTTTTCTTTTCTTTTTTAAAGAATCATTATTTTAAATTTTATTTATTATCATTATTCTTCGATTTTGACCAGAGAGAGAGGGAGAGTGAGATAACAAGCTACCAGGTCTAGGACTTGAACCGTGGTTAATCATGTGGGAATCCAACGTCTCAACCACCATGCCACCTGCCAGCCCCGCAAGGCCCTTTTTAAAATAGTATTATATAAACATCTCTACCTGCTAGTAAAAATAGATGGATATCACTATTTTCAGTATATTAGTCATGTTCTCTGTGAGATGAAGAATAATTTATTTAACCCATTCTTCTATTTAGATATTTAGGTTTCCAATTTCCCACTATTACAAACACTTGCTTCATTTGAAAGAGGACAAAAAAAAAAAAAAGTTGCACCAGTTCCTGAATCATAGCTTCTCCATTTATATAGAAATCGAACACCCTGTGTGCTTTGGTATTTGAACTTGGACAGCATCTTAATCTCAGCCCTGCAGTCTAATGAATGTTGACTGGGATCCTGACATGACATCCCTGGGTGACCAAGGGCGGCATTGTTCACATCCTGTCCCAGGCAGAGACTACTGTGAGATTAAAGTGCAGGTCAAAACCAAAGACAAGAAACAAACCAGGCACTACAGAGGTGCAGGTCTCCATATGATAGGCCTGCTCTCTTTCTTCCTCTGGCAGCTGACCTGACCACCACCACTCCCACTGGCCCTGCCAAGCCTGGTACTGACTTAAGAGAACAGAGAGGGGCCAGCAGGTGGTGTGGTGGTTAAGGGTGCTGGACTCTCACATGGCCATGTGGTTCAATTCCCAAACCTGGAGGCTTGCTTTCTCACTTTCCCTCTCTCTATGTCTCTGGAAATATTAAAATAATAATAATAAATAAATAAAGTTAAATAAAATAATTCCAAAAAATATAAAAGAGGGAACAGAGAGGATAGGAAAACAACTATTCCAGCGTGGAGAGCAGCCAATCTGAGAAAACAGGTGACCTTTAGACGCACTTCTATGAGCTTCTCTAGCAGTGCCTATGAAAGTATTTGCATACGATAATGCTAGCTGCCTGTTGTTGTCGGCTATCTTTCTGTGGTTGTTGATCCAATACTGCAGGGCAGTTTGAGGCTACAGGAAGCCACATCTGTTTATCAGATCTCGCCCCAAAAAAGATCAGAGAAATTACATGGCACTAGTCGTTCTCACGTCTTAAAAAGATTTAAATGGCTTTGCATTCCTCTTCTCCCATTTTCTGCCCTTAAAAAGAATAAACTTGAGGCTGGTTCCCAGTCACAACTTCTCCATCAGAGAAGGTGGACCCACCTGGTCCTTGCTTTTCTATACTTGTGCGTCTTTGTGTGCTTGTCGTTGCATTTATTTCTAATCCACAGCCTTCCCCACTCAGTAAAACGTGTTCAACCAAGCAGGTCTC